TCCCTATTTCCTTAAGACAAACTTCCACCATACTGAATGCTGAAAAATAACTCTACAAAACATTAACAAAATTTCTACATCAAATTCATATTTCAAAATCCAGAAAACCCCTGTGATGTTTTATGGCAACTGGGATGGAAAGTCTCCCATCCACTTCAGAGGAACAATTCACTCTCCCTCTTTTCCTTCCTGTGAATAATAAAGTTCCTCTTGATAGGAAATGGTTCAAATCCTAAATAAATAAATAAGCACATCTGGTATTTATTTATCCCAGTCCTTGGAAATGTTATGCTAATTGCAGTTCTGTTACTAAGGCTCTGGAAAACATAGTTGGGTTTATATTATTTTACTGGAATCCACAGATAAAAGTGCTTTCTTTCCCAGTGTTTCTCTTCTCTGTATAGTATGTGAAGTTAGTAAGCTGATTAACAATATAGCTAACCAGTTCCTACTATTATGCTCAATTAGTAGCAATTTATCATTAGAAAATTCAATATATCATCTTTTCTGGCACATCTTCTTTCTAGCTTCATTCTCACTATTTTCAGTCCCCTCATCTTTTCCATTCTCTTCTTCCTACTGTGCACGTTACTTGACCAGCCCCTTCCTCCACAGAGAAAACACATCTGAAAACTTCTTCCCAGCCACAGTAAAGGTTCATGTTGATAAAACTACAAAATTTCCTTTTGGAAATATACTTGTGGTAGGCACATGCTTAAAAATCTAGAAAGTCTTCAAATAATTTCAATTCTCCTTTCTGACTTTGTGAAAGGTTCTGCAGCCCACAGGACTCTTGCACAGGTATTGCTGTTTGCCAGAAATGTGGAGAAATCAACCTCACATCTAGTATCAAAACAATCTGGTCTTTTCCACAACTAAAACTGGTCTCTTGTGAATCTTTAATCCTATTTATGCAAAGCTATAGCCTTAACTGGATATACAGCAGATTTCTGGCAATTACTCCTCTTCCCCACATGGACCTCCCCAGACAGATGTTGAACTTAAAGTTTAGTCCACCAAAACATTGAGCCCAGGAGAAATCTCTCCAGCTGTCAGCAATAGCAAGCTCTTATCCTGTTCACTGAGAAGTTTTGATATGAGTGAAACAGAGTTTTCCAACTTTTTACATGAGAAAATGCACATGCTATGCAAGCTTGAAGTTTTATTCTGGTTTTCTAACTCAGCAAGATGTACACAACCAGGCTTTGTGTGCACTTCTACACATCTCTTAATCAGCTGTTGATGCATTCCAAACTCTCAGAGAAGCATGCAAATTTGCTGACAGGTACGTGACAGAACAGGTACAAGGAGCTCTGCAAGACTCTGAATGCTTCAGTCAACTTCTCTTAAAAGAAAAATAAATAAAAGAGCAGCTGCAGCACATTACTGGGCACAAGAAAGAGAAAAAGCCCTCATCAGAGTTTTAACTGGGGAAGGATTTGACTCTAAGAGACACAAATCTCTGGGAAATCAGCTTTCGTCAGTTCTGGAGTTTCTAAACCAAGACAAACACCATATGGAATGGTCACAACTTTACAAAGCTCGTCTTGCTGACTCTAATGGGATTGCAGAAGTAACAGAGTCCAGCCACATATCCCAGCTGGGTGCTCTGCACCTCCTGCCCGTCACAGCGTGGATCACACAGCCAGCAGGACACCCAGACTGAAGGGGTCTGACTGTGCAGGTGCCCACAGTGTCCCACTGCTCCACAGAGTGGAGGGGTCAGCACCTGGAGGTCTGTGACTGAGGCCAGGCTGGTGGCCTGCATCTCCACAACCACTAAATGAGCATTTTACATTCCATACCACTCATGGAACTCATAAAACCACTGCCAAAAGTAGAAAAATGTTGTCGTGCATACCTCTCTTTCTTTCAGTGAAGCTTATTTCTGCCAGGTATCAAACATTTTATTTCTTTGCCCATTCATTCTTCTTCCCCAAAAACATTTGCAACTTTTGTAGAAGTTTCATACCTGTCTGCTGGCTACAGCCTGGAAGAGATTAACAAAGGCCACAGGTCCGCTACTTACACTGACTACTGAACCACTGCACAATCCCAGATTACTCCTATTTCAGGCGCTTTCCATCAGAAATAATTAGGATCTGGATAGCTCCTCACTGCTGAAAATCACCAGGAGATTTCAAGTAAAAATTGAAGTGGGATCAAGCTGTGCCATTAGTAACTGCATGGACTTTCTTCTTTGAAAGACTCTTATCTCTGGTTTCCCATTGCAAAATTACAGACTCTCATCCTATGGATTAAAGTACAAGACTTCTATAAATGCTGTTTATCACCTGAAAAAAAAATATCCCAAGGCTAATTTAACAGCAAGAAGTAAATAGGAAGTGCATGGCATCTCTTCCAGATATTATGGTTGTAGATTTGATTTGCCATAAACCTTAATCAGCACTAGGATCCGACAGTCACGAATCACTGCTGACCCATGAACCCAAGCATTTGCTTGCACCCACTGCTGCTTAAGGAATTATCATTATTAGTGTATGGGGACAAGCACGTTCAAATAGAAAAGCAAACAGGAAAATAAACAAGGAACTTATTCAAGCAATGACCTGTCACTTCAAGAGCTAGATTATGCTCAAATGCACACACAATACCAACAATAATGAACAGTAACGAGGGATGCAGACAACCCATCTAGTGAGTCACCAATTCAATTCTCTAAATGTTCCTGATGCTCAGAGGAAAGACATTTTAAAAGCTCAAATGAAAGTCTGTTCTCATTGAGTGGCTGTTCCTTGACAAAGAAGGAATGACAGGAGCTCTACCAATGACACCACAGGAAACACTCCTTGACCCTTTCCAGCTTATGGAGATAAACAGCAAACTTCCTAACCCTGGCAAATTAATTTTAAATAAGAAACACTGGCATCAAAGTTCCCATCTAAATTGCCCGATTGCACAGTCAGAAATTCTTATTGAAAACATCTTTATGTATAGATTCATGAAGGCTATGAAAATTTGTGCTTGAATAAGGAGAGTAGGATTGAACTCAGCATTTCTGAACTATTTCATGGTAATAAAACTCCCCATTCAGAGGAGCTCAGAGAAAGCACTAAAATCTACATACATTTCATGAAATAACGTCTCAGATTTGGTTCCATTAACTTCACTCAAATGCCTACTCAGCAGCCACAAGAAGTTCAATCTTACCAGACTGAACAAAATAAAACCATGGCAACAATTTCTGGCAGACTCAGCATATCTATAGAATGGTAAGCATTTCTATATAATGGTATTATGCCCAGCAACTATTGACACAAAGGTGTGGTGAACTGAACCAGCACCTATTCAACCTCTGATTAATGTTTTTTGCACAGTGAAGGATTTATGGGCAGCTTTAAGTGTGTCTCTGACTGAACACAGTGAGCTACATAGGTGAAATACATAATTACAGATGGGTTTGCATCACCAGCTGCAGACCATGCTAAAGACAGTGAAAAGAGAACTCAGGTAAATACAAACTCTGTGGCTTTAAAATTCTGTTAAAACAGCCAAACTTGAGTCCCTTCCTCATAGCACATTTTGCTTCATAAGGAGATCAGCCTTGTTTTATTCCAGCCCTTTCAGTACAGCTTGGCTGTAAATAACAGCTGAAAAAAAATATGTGTTCATGAAAGCAGAAGAAGGTGGAAATAAAGCAACAGAAAAGGATAACATGAAAGAGGAGCTTTCCTCACAGCACTGCAGGAACACTGCTCTACTCTGCTGTAGGATTGAAATCCACAGCTCCTGCTTGTTTTCAAGAGGGTTTAAAAAGCTGATGACAAAATAAGCAAAATTAAAAGAAAAAAAGAAGAAAAAAATCAACAACTTCATTTGCTTGTCTTTTAATCAAAACATGTAATCAGAAGGCCTAAGTGATGATTACCTCCTGCTTTCAGTCTGACTGGAGCAGGCTGTTCATGGGCTTCACTCTTGGCAGTGCCAGGGAAGGTGTCCCTTCCCCACACAGGTAGGCTCACACACCGTGCTCACTTCCCATCGCCTGATCTGACTCCAGAGGAGAGGAGCCTGAGCCGCCACCACAGCTCAGGCACTCCGTGGGACTTCACTAAACATGGGACCCTCGGCAAGAGAGCCACTTTTTAGTCATGGCACCTTTATTAGCACACACACACTCTCCCAACTGTTAATGCAATATTAATTATCAGGACCAGGAGATACCCAGCAGAAGACTTAAAAATTGCCTTTGCTGGAGCACAATTCATTTAGATGATTTATGGAGTTCTTTATTGTTAGCGTCACAAGAGCTTTTTCAAAACAAGAGAAATCATTAAATCCCATAAAACACGGGCTATCGCCGCCGTTAGCTGGTAATTGATACCCTTGCTCGTGCCATTTATATCCCTAAATGGAGCTGATAAAACAAAAATTAGCAAAGCGTGCTGACAGAGAGCAGCCTGCAGCATCCCGGAGGGAGGCAGGGGATCCGTCCCTCCTTCCCCGGGAATTTTTCCCCCCGTGCATCCCAGGAGCCCCGATACGGGCAGAAATCAGGCTCAGAAATCACTCTGACGGCGAGGGGGAGGCAGCAGGGAGGAGAGTTCATTCGCTTTTAGAGGGAGAACCTGATTATTATATACCACCACCCCCCAGTCCGCCCCGGTTTTCCCTCAGGGAATTTTAACTACTTCTCTCTCCTTTTTAAAGACAAATCTTAAAAAAAAAAAAAAAAAAAAAAAAAAAAAGCTTTTGTGTTGCAATTCTCTATGGCTTGGTGGTTTTAAGCAGTTACAGAATAACAGCCAAGACATGTGCACAGTCAAGAAACTCCCAAATCCTGAGCAGCCAGGGAGAAGGAATGTATGTTTTAGTGATGGAAATCACGCAGACGTATTAGAAATGACTCGGAAGGACGGGAGAACAGCACTGAAAATGCAAATAAATCAGCTCAGATTCTATAGAAAAAAAAAAAAAGAAAAGCTGCTGATAACCCTGAGCAAATGCTGCTGCCTCAAAGACAGAAATAGCTCCCTTACCTTATTCCTAATCCTTGTTTGCACCTGCTCTGCAATCATAAATACTTCGAAGTGCTTAACATGGAGCTAAATTGATGGCTGAATTTAAGAATTTCTTCGTACACCTCATTTACAGATTAAAAGGAGTTTGTTTTTTTAGGATCGTCCTCCTCAGCATCCATTAGCTTCCCAAAGAATTCCCATGTTCTTGTAAAAATTAAAAAAAAAAAAAAGGCAAAAACCACAGTACGTCTATATACAACCGGGCACTGTAACAGATCCAAAAAGCCGGGAGCGGGGGAATCTGAGAGGTGTCACTACAAACTTGGCAAGCAAAACGTATCCTCAGCAGGAAGGAGAGAGAGAGAGACGAAAAAAACCCTGCAAATCAAAATTCCCAGGGAGATTTTGAAGGGGGGGGAAAAAAAAGCAAAAACAACAACCAACCAAAACCAAAACGCAAAAAGGCAGGGAGGAGAGCACAAACGGGATGGCGGGATGCCTCGCAGCCATCCACATCCATCCATCCGTCTATCCATCCATCCGCCGCTGCGCTGGAGCCGCGCTCCGCTCCCCGCGGCACCTGCGCGCTCACAGCGCGCCCGTGCGCGCCCCCGCGGGGGATGCGCGGCCCCGCCGGGGATGGGGACGCGCCAGGTTGGCCGCGCCGTGCCCGCGGTGAGGAGGAGCGGGGCCGGCGCTGCCCCGGCGCCGCGGGACGCGCTCGGTGCCGCACGCTCCGCTCCGCCGAGGCTCCCGCCGCTCCTCCCTCCCCATCTGCCGCCCAAAGGTCAGACAGGAGCTGCTGCTTTCACCCCCGAGGGCAAACACGCCCCAGGACGCTGTGATAACCACCCATGTGCTTCCCATGCCCGCAGCCCTCACCCCAAACTAACAGGGCACCCAACGAGACAGGGATGCAGGCACATCCCCTCCCAGCTCTCACTTCCAGGGCATCCAACAGGCCATGGATGCAGGCACATCCCCTCCCAGCTCTCACTTCCCCCTCTCTCCTTTTTCCCCCCTGACCCGGTACAGATTTCATCGGAGACTTTCCAAGACCTTTAATTATTCTGTTAATGTGTGCCCATAAATCTTCCAGAGCAGCATTTCATTAGGCAAACAGCAATATACAGGCCAGGGATGTAAACACAGGCAGCAGGGGCTGGAGAGGGAGCAGATTGCACACTGAAGGCATAGCAAAAGCTACATCAGAATTGGTCAGTCTTGTTTACCAGGGCTTTTCTAGAGAGGTTATTCTATGATTTTTTAAATTTAAAAACAAGTTCCCTGGGAGCCACTTGTGTCAGTAGATCACCAGGTTACTGGAGCAAGCCCCAGTTTACAGCACCGTAACAAGTCTCTTCCGTGAGCCCTTTACAAGCTTGCACTCAGAATAGGAAGGCAAAACAAAATAAAAAGTTCACAACCTTCATAACTAGTAGCGGTTTATAGCCATATCATTAGCATATTTCAGCAAATGAAAAGAAGGTGTTTGGGGTTTTTCCTCCTTGACAAATTTGGAATCACAAAATGGCAACCTGAGCGATGGAGACAAAATATGGGTCCATCCAGCTTGGGCAGGAAGCAAACCTCCTGGCTCACTTGGGGGATCACACATGTACTGTACAGGCAGTGGCATTTATAACTTGTTTTATCCCCCATAATGGGAGAGTTTATCAGGGATGTGCAAGCAGATGGAAAAACTTCAAGGGGAAGTATGAGATTCAAAACAGGTCGTGAGTATGGGTGCACAGGAGACAGAGGCAAGGAGAGGGGAGGGCAAGAGATGCAGCGAGGTCTTCCTAGGCAAAGTGGAAGGGTGGGAAGAAACAGATGTAAAGGGTAAACTCTTTAGATACTCCTCAACTGGGAAATATGTCCTCATGAAGGACTATTTACACACTATTTTCCAGTGAGGAAATCAAAATCACTTCCCAGCAATTGTGCATGATTGAATTTTGATGGCTGAAGGTGAAGGGCATTAAACTCTCTTAAACCCATTTTCTCCAACAAAAGAAGAAAAAAAACCCTCTAAAAATCAAGGATTAATTTACAGTTGAGTCCAGGAAAGATTCTTCCCAATTCTTGTATGAGACGCACATGTTTACAGTAAAATCCAAATACCACACCTGAGAAATCAGTGCAAATGGAAGAAGTTTTATTCCTCAATGGCCATGTTGGATACAGAACCATCTGGAAATCCTGTAGAGATTCCAAAGACAGCACCTGTTTGTCAAACATGATGCAGTTCTGAAGTCCTCAGGTAGTGTGACTAACAGGGTTCCAAACCAGAATGCTTTCCCCAAAGTCCAGTGCGTGAAAGACTTTGATTTGTTTCTGTTTTCAAATTAAACAAGACCTTGATTTATCCTCTGGAGCAATGCTTGTGACTTTGGAATATGCAATCTCCTCTTTAGCTGCTGCTGAATGGCTACGACAGCAAAGGCAGATGCTCCCATCTGCAGCGTGGCACTGGATGGAGCAAAACAAGCCCCAAAAATGGGTTGGCAGATGCAGCACCTCTACTACACCTCTGAGGATGTCTGGGAATGGCAGCCTCCTCCCCACATGGGCACCACAAACAGAGGTGGGCACATTTTTCCACACATTCAGGTGGAGCCATGGATGTTGTGAGCAGAGGGGACCTCCAGAGAGAAGGACAGAGCTGGGAGCAGCTGTTCCTACAGCTCAGTACCTTCTGCAGCATGGGATTTTCAGCTGCATTTTCAATCTGTACAGTTGTTTTAGCTCAGGAAAATCAGCCATCAGCCCTTCAGAGGCAGCACTGGCAGCAGGAGAGGCCCTGCACTGGGGCAGACACAGAGGGACAGGAGAGCTGTAGGGGAGAGCTCTGTGTGTCAGGAAGGTGAGTCAGACACGATTCTCAAGTGATTGTTAATTTGGCATTCCCATCTTGAGAAGCAGATTTAACCTCCTGGCCAATAAATTATCCACATAATCCCCACCACTGCAATGCCTGAATTCCTTAAGAGCTTTAAGCTGGGCATCCAGATGATCAAGTTCACAAAGTCCCTGTGGATCCAGGCTCACTCAGGTTCTGCAAGGTATGGAAACTGAAATTTAACACGGCCTCACATATCAGTTCTACCTTTCAGAATGAGGGTGATTTGTCAGGATTAGCCTCAGGGGTATTTCTAATACCTTCCCTTTACTTGCAGTGATTAAACAGGATTGAAAACATATTCCAGTCTCTTCTAACTCCTACATCTTTTGCTGGGGATTTATATGGAAGATGCTGTAAGGCAGCAAGTACCTAATACATCTCCCAAGGACAACATAAAGTCACTTTATTAATACAAGTTTACCCTTCCCCAGCTTGTAATAGTAGTTCTTTGTTACCACGTGGGTCTTGCCACATTAACACTCAACCAGAACCACCCCACCAAAATATATAAAGAATAATCGAAAATAGTTCCATGGTTTACTGACCAAAAGTAAAAAGAGAAGCCTTCCACACTTAATGTAATCATCTCTGCTTCTGTGAGACAGAGGAAATGAAGGTGCCCTAAACATGACAAACAGAAAATGATATGTACAAAAATAGGGGAATAGAACTGCATAATAAAGCTGTCTTTTGTGACTGTCCAAGGGAGACTGAAAAGGCTGAAAATGAATTGCAGAAAGGATGACTTTGAAAAGAAATTGTCAGCTTGCTTAGCTCCAAAATTCACATCCTCATCCACAACCTTTAGAGAGAAAGCAAAGTGCAGATGCCTGGGAGTTTTGAGACAAATAAGACCTTCATGTTTTCTTTTTGGATTAATTACTTAGTCACTACATGATTGTAGCTTAAAGTTTCATAACAGCAGGAGTTACATTAGTAAGAGGTACATAAGTATGCATATTAAATATCAATAAGTTATTGGCAAATATATTAAAAGGACTGCAATTTCATACTCTGGACTCTGTGAGAATGGCTTGATTTTCAAGGGTTCTGGGCAGCTGAAGACCACCTGACAGTAAATCGTGGAAAAGGGAGGGAAAACTTAGCCCAGAAACAATGCCCAGCAGTTTCTTGAAATGCTTAAACTTCAGTTTTCATTTACCTTTTTTTTTCCTTTTAACTATAAACATTTATTTCACCTTCTTTGAATAATCCATACTAATCTCTAAAAAAAATCTTATAATGATTCCAGTAGAAGCAGGTGTGATTCCAAAGATATTCCATGGTTTTTTTCCCTTAAATGGAATCAAAGATGCATCTAGAGTAATAGAATGGATGAAATAGTGAGGTGTTAAAATTTCAAGAAATATATTACTAGGGCAGAAAATTAAAAATATTACTTGAATTACTATAATCCATTCTGAGATTATTTTTAATATCAAAGTTCTTTTCAAGAGTTAAATCAACCTCTTGAGCAACCTTACAGGAATTTCAAATAGCCATTGAAATATTGTTCTAGCAATATAATGGAGTACACTGAACATACTATAAAAAGATATTTCTGTGTTTAGTGGCCACTGTTTTAACAGTGTGAGAACATTTTCTTCCTTCTGTAAGTGTGAAGGGGCCTTTACTGAATAGTAGGAAAATAATAAATGGAAGCCTTAAAATAAAGAAATTGCAAATATTCTACTGCTGAGATCCTGGGGCTTTCTGAGTGAATTTTTCTTTTTTTCCTTAACTCACAGATCTAGCATTGGCTCTTATTTCCCAGATAAGCATTAGGGTTCAAAGTGGACACATTCACATATGAAATATAACTCTTTAGACAACCCATAATCATATTAAACAATAATATCGTCCTTAGGTCAATTGTGTCACAAAGTTTAATTTCCATCTGAAATCTTAGGTACAGTAAGGGGAGAAAAAGGAAAAGGCTTCTTGTGGGCCTGATTTGCCTCCTATGTAATCAGGACTCTGCAGTCTCCCACTACAGGTTTCAGGCATTGAATCCAGATCTCCAGAAACAAACCTCACAGATTAATATTTTGCCAGCAAGGCAAACAGACATTTCAGGGGATTTTTAAAAGCTGATAATTTTGACCCAGTTTCCATCACAACTGCAGGCACCTCTGTACCCAGACACAGTTTCCTGAGTAGCCCCAGTCAGCACTAATCATTAACAATCAAAACAAGACCCTAGATTTTTACTGCTATATTTTAATACATTTATATTTGGTGAAACAGTAAAATATGTTCTCATCTGACAGATCTCTACAAGCACAGCTTGACACCACGAGTGTTCAAGCAGGGGGCGTGAGCCTGTGAGGTGCTGGTGATTTCCCCATCTGGTTCCCACAAAGGACTCAAGTTTGTTAATAAACAAACTTAAATCAAGGCCAAATTTGATCTCACTCAAAATAAACCTCCTTTTGCATGGTGATTTTGAAATTACATATCTTAAAACT